AGCCAGGCGGCAGCAGCCAGGCGGCCGCACCTGCAGCAGCAGCTCCGCACGCGCCGCCGGCAGGCCCAGCTGCTGCGCGATCTCGGCAGGCCCCTGCCTCAGCGGCTCGCCGTCGGCGCCCCGCTGCCTGAAGGCAATGTCCAGCTGCGGGCGCAGGAGGGGGGGTTCCCAGGAGGGAGCGGGCAGGTGTGTGGGTGGTGCGCGTGAGATGCATGCCGTGCATTGCCGTGCCGCATGCCGCTGGCGCGTGGGTGCTCATGCCGCGCGCTTCATGGCTGGCAGGCAGCGGCAGGAGCCTGCGCACGCTGCCGCCGCCATGCCTCCCCCCTCCTCGCCAACAAGCTGGGACTCACCGCCCGCTCCCGCTGCTCATCCTCCCGCCGCTGCACTCGCGTGAGCCAGGCGCGGATGGCGGCATCGGCAGAGTGCACAGGCAACCGAGGCGCCGCCGCCTGCCCCCTCCGCCGCTGCTCCCCGGGCTGCTGCTGCTCGCCCCGTTGGCTCAGCTCCTTGCTCCGCTGCTGTCCCTGGTCTGGTTCGGCGACTGCTGCTGCCGCTGCCGCCGCTGCGGGTGCGGCTGGCGGCGCCGCCTGCTGCTGCCGCCGCTGCCGCTCTGCATCGTCCAGCAGCTGCCGCCACTCGTCTGGCGGGGCCACGTCGGGGCAGCAGCGCAGGATGTGAGCCTCAAAGGCCGGCACCCTGAAGCAGCACTGGCCGCAGGCGGGGCAGCGGTACGAGGGCCGCTCCTTCCACCACAGTGCAGGCCGGCGGTGCTTCTGCTTCAGCTGCTGCTCCCGCTGCTGCTGCTGCTGCGGGCTGTCGGGGTGCATGGCTTCAGCCTGACGCCCCGCCGCGGAGGCACTTGCCCGGGGCAGGGAGGCTGACCCCGCCGCCGCGTGCAGTGCTGCCCTGCCGCCGCCGCCGCCGCCGGCACGGAGGGCAGGCAGATGGCGTGGCCGGGTCGCGCTGCTCTCCCTCACTGCAATAGATCTGCGCAGCGGCAGCGCAATAGCTCGGGAGCGGCTCAGCAGGCGCAGGGCGGCGCACTGCAACAGCACTGGCATGTGCGGCGCCCTGGGGCCAGGCTGCCTATTTGGAAATCGAGAGGAACAGCACTGGAGTTCATGGATTGTGCCAAAGTCCACAAAGGAGCTCTCCACATTTTTTCCGGCCGAGGAAGAAAGACACCCCAGTGTCGGCAATTGGAGCAGCCCTTGCTGCCTCCCGCACTCTTGTTCACACACGGGTGGCTGCCGCCGTATTCTGAGTGACGCTGCAGACCGTGCGCCCTCCCCCCGCTAAGAGCAGCACCTGATTGGCCCTTTGGCCGCCCCTTGCAGCATGGCAGCAGACGAAGGAGACGCAGTGGTGGCCCAGCCACCCACAGAGCTGGGCAAAACGCTCCGATGCTGCGTGCCTTGCCGCCTCGTCAAGACGTTCGAGCAGTTTTACGAGCAGGCAAGCCGCCGGCTGGTGTGCGGGCATGATCCAGCCGTCCGCAAGCCGCAGCAGGCCTGCAGACAACCTGCTGTCAGCTCTCCTGCTGCTGCCACGTCGCCGCCTCTGCTTCCGCCGCCTCTGCGCTGCCGCCTGCTCTGACGTGCTTCTCCTCCTTGCCTGCGCAGGGCTGCGAGAACTGCCCCTACCTGGACATGGAGAACGACCGGGAGCGCGTCTATGACTGCACCACCTCTGACTTCAAGGTGCAGGGGAAGGGCGAGGGGCAGGAGGGGCGCAGCCGGTTCGGGGTGGCAGCAGCCCGGTGAGCTGGCACCGCCGGGCCACCTCCCGCGTCGGCTTGCTGCTTGCTGCGTGGCCTCCACCGCTTGCGGGCCGTGGAACTGGGTGCTGGTGGTAATGCTGGGGCCGGCGCCGCTACGGGTGCAGGGCATGGTGAGCGTGGTGGACCCCAAGACCAGCTGGTGCGCCAAGTGGCTACACCTGAGGTGCGGCAGCCCCGCCGGGGGCACGCTGCTGCCGCTGCAGCTGCAGCACCGCCTTCAGCGCCGGCCTGCTACCCCCATTGGGCCGTTGGGCCGTCCTTGCCGCCATCTGGGTTGCGGCGAGGGCACGCTGGCAGCCTTCCGTGCTGAGCGCCACAGGCGTGTGCTCTCAAAGTGCCCCTGCCCGCCGCCCATGGCTCCCACTGCCCATGCGCCCGCAGGAAGTTTGTGCCCGGCTGCTACGCGCTGAGCGTGCAAGCAGAGCTGCCGAACGTGTGTGGGACCGCCGTTGGTGCCCTGTGGTGTTGTCATGTATCCAGCCGCTGCCGCCGCCGGCGATGCTCCCACGCCTGCCGCTGCGCACCCACTCGCGGCGAGAGCTTCATGCCTGCCCGCCTGCTGCAGCACATTGAGGACATTTTGGAAAACCGCGGCATCAAGTGGCGGCTACCAGACTAGTGCCCCTTGCGGCGGCGGCAGCAGCAGCAGGAGAGCCCAGGAGGGGTGGTCTCCTTCCTGATGAGCAGCAACAACGCGCGTAGGCAGCAGCATTTAGTAGATGTCCCCAGCTGCACATAGGCAGGCAGAAACAATGCTAAGGTAGGGCAGCAGGGACGGCACCAGAGGTCCGCATAGGCATGTGGGCATCTGTGCCCACATGAGACCTTGGTTTCGGTGCAGTTTCCCATCTGGCGCAACAGCGTGTGTAACAAAAACACTCCTCACGGGCTTGGTGCGCTCAGTCGGGGCATACATATGTTACAGGTGGCGCCGGCAGCGAGCACCCCAGGCGGGTGCTGCTGCAGGGCCGGTGCAATATGTGGGAGGCATTCTTGTACAGACAAGCAGCCTAATGCGGCAGTGCTTGCTTCATGGGACGAAATGTGGGGACAAAGGAAAGGATGAAATGCGTTGCTGCTTTTTTGAGGGTAAGAATTGGGTGTTGGGATAGAATCATAATCTGGTAGTCTGAGGCTGGTTGCTGTTGCTGCTGCTGGAGTGGTGCAATCCTGTGCGGGGAAGGGCGAGGTGGGGTGCAGAGACTGATCGGCTTGGGTGGGGTCAAAGGGGCGGATGGGCCCCAAAGAGCGCGGCGCAGCACAGCGCACGCAGGAAAGAATGAATTCACTTGTCGGTTCAGTGTGCTGGGGGCAGGGTACGGGGTGCGGTGCAGAGTTGGAGTGCTGATGATAAGACATGGTGGTTGTCTGCGGTGTGCTGCTCGGTGGCTGGCGTGATGTGCCCTCTGGAGCCGCCCAATGGAGAGCTGCAGGCAACTGCGCGGCTCTCCCCTGGCCAACCCAACCTGATGTGGCTGGGTCGCCTGCTGACGTTCAGCACAAGCTGCTTGATGGCTGCAGCGCGTGCCAGCAGGTGCCGGCCGCGCCGCGGCGGGCGCTCACACCTGCGCGGCCGCCTCCTCGGGCTGGCGCTGCACGGCGGCGGCGCTGAGGGGCGTGCACGCCTCATCGGCCTGCGGCGCCTCGGTGGTGGCTGCCGCCGCCGGCTTGGCCGGGGCCGGCAGCAGGCCGTGCTCCAGCATCTCGTCAAAGCGGGCGGGCGTCAGCTGGCCGTAGGCGCGCAGCACGGCCAGCGCCAGGCTGCGATTCAGGCTGCAGGCGGCAGCAGGAAGGGGCAGGGCTGGTCGGGGCGCGGCGAGCGGCAGCAAGGGAGCCGGGGGCTAGGCTCAACGAATGGCTGTGCATCCTGCTGTGCAAGGCTGTTGCGGCTGCCGCTGTCACCTCGTGCTGCTGCAGCTGCCGCCGCCGCACACGCGGGACTCACCCGAACAGCTGGGTGAGCACGGCGCCTGCCACGGCCTGGCGACGCACGGCATCATCCAGCGCCGGCCAGTGCCCAGCCTGGCGGTGCATCAGCTCAAAGACGAGCCCCGACAGGCCCCACGTCAGGCGCGCTGCAGCCCTCAGCAGGGACCGCCGCTCCGCCGCCGCGTCGCCGCCCTCCTGCTGCTGCTGGCCCTTGGCGCCGGCGGACGGCGGCGGGCTGCCACCCAGCAGTGCGGCATGTACCGCCACCACGGTGAGAGCCCTCACCGACACGCCGCCGCGGCTGACGCTCGTCAGCAGCCTGCCGCCGGCGTCGCAGTCGGCTGCCTCGCCCGCAGCGGCCTCGGGGCAGGTGGCGGCAATGTCGCGCAGGCTCAGGGCATTCACGTGCGTCACCTCCTGCTCACTGTCGTTGGTGGCGTCGGTTTGGACCAGCGCCAGCGGGCCCGGCAGCCTGCAAGCAGACCAGACAGTCAGGCGAGTGGGCGCCGTGTGTGTGCCGGAAGCGGCCAGCGCTGGCGCAGCGGCCACTGCCCATCAACGGCCTGCCACACCTGTAGGTCTTCCCGCCATGCGGTCCTTGAAGCGTGACATAGACTGGCAGGACTGTAGAACACAGAGAGCTCAGCAACATTCTCCGCGAGAGCGTGGTAGGAAGGCGGAGCGAGTGGGCCAGAGAGAGCCTGTGCAACAACGCCGAGGGCCGAATGGAGTGCCGGCTGAGGGTCCCAGGCCGCGCCCTTCGTGCAGCCTGCCCTTCGTGCCATGCGGCCCCCCGCAGCGCAGTGGAACTGATGAGCACACTATTCCTGCAGCATCTGCCTCTAGATAAACCAGATTACACCAAGAAACCGGTGTTACACCGCAGCTCGGGAGAAGGCCCCCTGCAAGAGCTGCACGACGCCGGCTGCCTGCGCTGGCTCCAGCGGCGGGCCAGAAACGCCGTAGCAAGGGCCCGGCCATGCCAGGTCCGTCTGCATCCAGGCATCAGGAAAACGTTGTTCAGGTCTCACAGCAGCAACTGGATGGTGGAAAGAATGCATGAAGCGGAACGTGACAAGCAGCCTGCACATATAGCGCCTTCCTGCCGCCTCTGCCACCCACCTGCAACCGACCCGTCACATGTATGTGCAACTGGCTGACTATATTACCGATGGCAGCGATGTTGGTCTTGTAGGGCCTGTACAGGTCCTGGATGATCTGCGCCGCTGCCGCCACCTCGCGCCACAGCGCCGCTTGCTGCGCCGCCGTCAGCTGGATCACCTCGCGCGTGTGGTTGACCCGCGGCACCAGCACCAGCCAGCACGGGTATGCAGCGTCATCTACCACCAGCACCCTGCACAGCGGCAGGTCGCACACCTGCGGGCAGCGGGCCCAAAATTCAAGGAACTGAGGCAGGCTGCACTGCGCAACTGCTGGCGGTGCGCGACGGCGGCGAAGGGGGCACAGAGCCAGATCGCACCAGGTGCTTGCCCTCCATCAATCTGGGGTCCAGGTCGAATGCTGCAGCGCCTCGCACTCGTTTCCGCCCAAACATCAGGCGGCCCAGCGCCAGGCCCGCAGCGAGGCACGCAGAAGCGAGCACAGTGGGTGGTGTCATCTATCGTGTGAGAGGCGATGCAAGACTCAGTTCTGATTTCGGCAGTAAGGATGAGCGCTGCTGGCTGCCGTGCCGTGGCGTACAGGTGGCGTTCCTGCTTCACACATCAATTCAGTTAAACGGGTGGCCAACCCTTGGATGAAGACGACAAATGGAAAAGTGAGTGTTTCACAGTGCAATGCAGTGCAACAGAAGGACGCGAAGGCCCCGAGCTGTGGGAATGCAATGCAACAACGGACAGCGAGACGCGGAAGCGCCATCAAGCCTTGTGCCTGACAGCCGCTTCGCGGTCGCACCACGACTGCAGCGCACAAGCAGATCATCCGCCCCAGTCTCAGCGCAGCATGGGCTGCCCACACCGCACATGCACATACACCCTGCACCCTGTCTTCCAGCATAGCCCGCCGCCACCCCAGGCCCCATGCCGCACCCCCCCGCGCGCACCAACCTGCAGCTCCCGGGCCAGCTTGCCGATGTCTGGCACAGCCGGGTCCAGGCTGCCCAGCTGCCCCATCAGCCGCGTGCGCACAAAGTTGAGCTGCGGCAGCAGGGCGGCGCCAAGACAGGCATGTGATGCGCCAGCTTGCTGCTTGCTGTTCCTGCCACCTCTCGCGCCCGTTGCTCGTCCCTCCTGCCCCCAGGCCACACCATCATGCGGCAGCTGGCACACACACACACAGGCCCGTGCACACCTGGCGGAACATGCGCTCATTGTCCTGGGCCACCAGCTCCAGCTCACGCTCCGCCTTCCTGTGGCGCCCAGCAGGCAGCGCGCGAGGTGGTGGGCAGCGGCACCCTCACCCGGGGTGCGCCACCCAGCGGGGAAGCGACGGGCTGGCGGGCAGGCTGGCCCAGGGAGCCAGCCCAAGGCAGCCGGGGCGAGGCGCCCACACTGCGGCACGGGCTGCCGGGTCCCCAGGGGGCCGCACCCCACCTGATGTTGGCTGCCGCCGCCTGGCGGTCGCGGTCAAACTGCTCCGCTTTGTGCCGCCACTCCGCCGTCAGCACCGCCGCGCCGGCGGTGGCCGCCTGCGCTGCCTCCAGCTCCCCACGCAGCAGCTTCACCTGCAGGGCCGCCAAACGGGGGCAGCTGGTATGGCGCTCGGCTGGCAGAGCGAATGCAGGCACCCGACGCATGTGCAACCGGCCAGGCGAGGCTGCGCAGCCAGCACCAACGACTGGCAGCAACCCAGCAGCAGCAGGCATGCGGCAGGCGCGGCAGGCGTGCCTCATCATCCCGCTGCAGCAGCCTGGCATCCGTGTCCACCAGGCGCTGCCGCACGTCTGCCAGCTGGGAGGCGGCGGCGGCTGCGTCGGTGCGCCACTGCGCCGCCTCGCCCGTCAGCACCCGCTCCCGCTCCGCCAGCAGCTGGTGCTCCAGCGCAGCAAACTCGCCCAGCTCCCGCCGCTCGCGGGCCTCAAAGGCGAGCACCGCTGCCAGGCGCGCGGCGCGCGCCGCCGCCGCCTCGGCCGCCGCCTGCGCCTCAGCCGCCTGCTCGGCCAGGCGCCGGCGCTCGGCGCGGGCGCGGTCCGGGGTCACGCCCACCTGGGCCTGCAGGCAGGGGGCAGGCGACGGTTGGTGGCGGCAGCACAACCCGTCGGCCTCAAGCGCAGCCATCTCCTCTTTGCTGCCGGGCCTCCCTCAGCTGGGGAGAAGGAGAAGAATGATACACGTGGGTGACTTTGTGATACGAGAGCCGAGAGCAGCAGCAGTGGCTCCCTGGCCCACCACCCGCACTGTGGCGCTGCCCCGCGAGCTGCCTGTCCGCCCCGCACCTGCACCGCCGCCAGCTGCTGCTCCAGCTCCCTGCCCGCCGCCTTGAGCGCCTCCAGCTCCGCCGCCTGCGCCCTCACCCGGCTCTCACCCGCCAGCACAGCGCCCTCCAGCTGCAGGCGGGCAGCAGTACGGGGGTGGAGGGCATGCAGAGGGGGAGCGGGCGTGTGAGGGCGCCGGCGCCGCCGCCCGGCAGCGAGGCACGGGTGGGTGGGCGCAACATGGACCCATGCTATGCTGCCCACCCACCAGCCTACCTTTGCGATGCGGCCCCGCAGCTGCCCCGCCTGCCACCCAAGCTCATCCCTGCTCGCCTCCACCCGCTGCAGCTGCTGCTGCAGGCCGGCGGGGTCGGCAGCGCCGGCACCGCCCTCAACCGTCGCTCCCTGCTCCGCCTGCGACGGCGCCTCTACAATAGTCAGCACCAGCTGCACTGACTCAGCTGCTGGGACGGCCGCACCCGCCGCATCAGCCGCCCCCAGTGGCGCCGCTGCCGGCGCCGCTGCCGCCTCCCCATGCTGTGCCAGCTGCTGCGCCTCGTCCAGCTGAGCCTGCAGCAGGCCCACGCGCAGCTGCAGGCTGGCCACCTCTGCCCGCAGGCTGCACGCCTGACCGCCCTGCGGGTCGTCTTGCACAAACAGGTTGAGAGTGACGCGCTCCTCGGCTGCCGCCGCCGCAGCTGCGCCGGTTGGAGCAGCCGGCGACAGAGTCAGCGCGCCTAGCCCTTGCGCCTCGCAGCCAGCGGTGCTGGCGCTGCGGTAGGCGGGGATGGAGAAGTGGGAGGTGGCGGGCGAGGCTGGGCCCCGGCTGCCGCCGCGGCTGCGCGCGCTGCTCGACGGCGGCGGCGAGAGGCCGCCCCGCTCGCTGCTCGCGGGGCTGACGGGGTGGCTGTCCGGGGCCTGGGCGCTGCTCAGCCGCTTTTCGAAACCCAGAGAGGCGCGCCGGCCACTGGGCGGCGAGGCAGCCAGAGACAGCTTTTTGAAGCCCGCAAACCATTCCTCCTCCGCGCCAGACTGATCCATTGTGTGCCGCAGAAGGGAGGCAGAGGAAACGCGGCTGGAACGCTGACACCTTGTTTGTCTGGGCGGCAGCGCAGCGCAGCGCAGCGCAGCGGCGGCATGAGCGAAGCGAAGGTGTTTCCGCCCTGATGAGAGGAACGGGGGCGCTGTTGGGATCAGAGACCTCATCAGATCATTTTTAACTGATGGCATGCATCTTTGCTGTCGGATGCAAGCCATTACGGGCAGCGCACCCCAGTGCCGCCGCTCGGCGCCGCCGCACCGGGCCTGGGCTGCCTACCGGCGAGGCCAGCTGCCCTGTGGTAATATGCGACAGACTGGGCCACCGTGTGGAAGGATCAATCTCTAACCGTCCAACCCCCATGCTGTGCTCCAAGGGACTTCTACAAGCAGCTGGCACAGCCACCTCGCCACCTGGCCATGCAACTCAGCTTCCTGGCAGCGTCCCAACACGCTGGCCGCCGTGTGCGGTCAAATGCGCACGCCCTGCGCTGCCTCTCCATTCGTTCTGACATGCTCCTTCCACAACACGCTCCCTCTCCTGCGGAAAACGAAGTAGCTCACACCCAAACTTCCCAGAACCCCGCGCGCCTAGCTCTCAAGCCCCCTCTCCCCCCAACCACGCAGCCATGCCCCTCACCTGCGCCCTCCTTGCAGCCCAGGGGGCAGCCAGCGCCTGTGCGCAGCAGCCGCGGGCCGGTGGGCCGACCGCCAGCCGGCGCACGTTCCTGCACAAGCTGCTCCGCGTGGCGGCGGTGGGCGCGCCGTGCCTGGCCTCCGTCTATGAAACCCTCAGCATGGACGAGCACGAGCTGGCCGCCACACTGGTGGTAGCCTCCCTGGGCACCGCCCTAGGCAGCGAGGCCAGGGCAGACGGCCCAGCGCCCTCCACCAACCCTGAGCAGCGCCCGGCGGCCCGCCCCCCGCCGGCGCACGAGGCAGCAGCCCCTCGAGTGCTGGAGGTGAGCGCTGGCCTTCAGCCACTGCCCAGCTGCGCATCCCGCCTGGTTTGCAGTGAGCGCTCTGCCATCTGGCCAGCCGCCCGGCATTGCGCATGCTCATGCGCCGCCTGCCCTGGCCCCCCCGCCTCCTTGCCCGCAGATCCGCAGCACCAGCGAGCTGCAGCATCTGATGGCATGCCACCCCAGCCGCCTCGTGGTCCTGCACCTGGCGGCGGCCGGCTGCCCTCTGGGAGAGGCCTTCCAGCCCTGGCTGGCCCAGGCCTGCCAGAGCCACGCCGCCGCCCTCTTCCTCCGCTGCGCCGTGCAGCCCGGCGAGGCGCAGGCGGCAGGCGACTGCGCCGAGCTGCTGCAGGCGCTGGGCGTGGGCCGCCTGCCCTGCACCCTGGTGCTGCGAGGCCAGCAGCTGCTGGCACGCCTGGAGGTGTGCGAGGCGCCCGCCAGCGCCAGCGGCGAGCCCGCGGCAGCGGCAGCGGCAGCGGCAGCGGCAGCGGCAGCCGCGGCCTCGGCTGGGCGCCAGCTGGACACCCTGTTGGGTGCGGTGCTGGCCACGCTGCCAGCTGCGGAGCCGGCGCTGCCACCTGCCCAGGTGCATGGCCGCCAGGAGCGCACCGACACCCTGAGCTCTTTTGCAGAGGTGCCGGCTGCGTTTGCGGTCAGCTACTGATTGCGTTGAGAGACACTGATTGAGAGCAGCATTGAATTCTAGAGCGTGATTTCAACCCCGCCATCAACCACCAACTGCCAACATCCTGCGGCTCCTGAGCATTTCTGATGCATGCATGCTACTTGCTGCTTCTGTCCTCGGTTCACCCATCTTCTCCCTGGGCCATGTCTGGCCCAAGAACTGCCCCACGCCACCCATCACCCTCCTGCCTGTACAACCCTACTTCAGCCTGCTACACTGATGGCACATCTGCCAGGCTCTCTGCATTCCTCCCATTTTGCATGATCCAACCAACCATTCTGCCAGCATTGTTTTATCCTTTCATCCACCAACCTGTATTCTTCACCATTTCGACTGATTTGTAAATGATGCACACCTTTTCTGTGTGTGGGCAGCGCCCACTCAGCCATCTGAGGTTATCTGGCCAAAGCTGGCCTGGGTTGAATGTGCACAGGTTACAGGGGATCAGCAGAAATCAGCGGTGCCACGAGCCCAGCCAAACGTGCGAGGGGGGCGATTTGTGCCCGTGACACAAGCAGCTATGGGGGATGAAAGCACAAAGGGGCGTTGGGGGCTTCGGCTTATCGTGTCGGCACAAAAGGGGGGAATGAGGGACTGGGAGTGAGGCGCACCGATGCGCATGCAGCCCAGCGGAATGGCACATGCAGGAGGAGACAAGCAGCCACAATGGGGCAGCTCAGAAAGGTTCAGACAAACCCTCACCGCAGGCTGGCAGAATGGGCGCAACGCAACGGTGGGGCAGGGGGGATGGCAGTGCAGCGGGTGCCATGGTTGAAGGCAGGTGCCGGGCTGTCCCGCCCTCTTGAGCAAAAACTGCTTTGGCCACCTAGCGGTCATTTCCATCATTGTCGTTATTGATATCCTACATACCCAGGAAAAGCAAAAGAATGAAATGATGTAGGAGACTGATGGAAACAAACATAGGCATATTAAGCAATTACATGCCCAACAGAAAACTCACGTTGATAACCTCCTTCATCTGAGAGTTGATTTTTTTTGTCGATGATGTCCTGGACGGTGTTGCTGTCGATGCCGTCATTGGTGTCGGTGGTGTCGGTGATGCCATCGTCCCGGTCGGTACCATCGTCGGTACCATCATCCGGGTCGGTATCGTCGTCGTCAACCCTGCGAGGCAGGCCATCTTTGCAGCAGTCGACTTTCCAGGCCTGAAGCTGCCTCCCAGGAAGCCAGGCCTGTCCTTAAGGCCTATCCGTAAGGCAAAGCAAGCTTGGCTCCCGCCTGCGCCGCTGGGTCCCCTAACTCAACCCACCAGTCGTTGTTGGCGATGATGCCGCCGGCGGTGGAGTTGAACACCCAGCGGTCGGGGTCATCCGGCGTGTCATCATCGCTGCGGGCAGCCAAGAAAGCGCGCGCACAGGCCGGGAGGGGCGTTGACGCTGGGGGCAAGGCTGCTGGTGCGTGCAGGCCTGAGCAGCGCCCAGCCAGGGCTGCCGCTGCGCGCGCCTGCAAGCTATGTGGCACGCGCAGGCGCAGCCATGCTGGCGTGCATGCCAGAAAGCCCAGGAAAGGAACTCACCCGAAGTGCAAGCCATTCACAGTCACAAACTCCAAATCAAGGTCGTGGATCTGCGGAGGGAAGAGAGGATGCGAGGCTGGTTGGGCAGGTGGGGGCGGGCTGGGAGGGCAGGCGAGAGGAGGGAGGCTGCTGGGGCGTGCTGCCGGCGGGGGCCGGCGGGAAACAAGAGACAGGGTGCGAGGTGGTGGACTGTCGCGCAGCAAGCAGGCATGAGCCGCATGGCATGGCGCGGCGCGCTCCCAGCCCAAGCACGCATCACAGCTAGGGCACCCGCCTGGATGGTGGTGTCATTGCCGGTGGGCAGTGGCTCGAAGGCATCCACGCTCACGCCGACCTGCGGGCACGTGCACAGGCTCTTTGTGCAGGCCAGGCGGCTGCGCGCTGCAAGGCACCACCCGGGGCCTGGGCCTCGCCCCTGGCTGCCAGCCTCGAGGCTGGAGCTCCCCTCACCGTGTAGTTGGTGGCCTCGCTGGTGCCGACGATGCAGCTCATGTTGATCCACAGCTTGTAGTTGGTGCCAGCCACCACCTGGGAGGGCGCAAGGGGCGGCGAGGGTGGGGCCAGGCAGCTGTTTGCATTCGCAGCCGGCCGATGGGGCGGGCGATCGGGGCGGGGGAGGGAGGCCAGGCGGCGGCGCAGGAAGCACAAGGCGTGCCGCGCACAAGGGCGTGCCGCGCACCTGGGAGCAGCCGGCGGCGGAGTAGGTGATGTCCTCGGCGGGGCAGGGCGAGGCGCCCCCCAGCATGGCGGTGATGTTGGCACCGTACTGGGTGGTGAAGTCGTCGAGCACGGCGGACAGCAGGGTGGAGGAGACGTTGCCGGAGATGGCGGTCCAGCCGCCAGCCACGTCCGAGGCGCCGCAGCTGGCGGGCGGGCCGTCGTCGTGGTCGGGGCTTTCGTCGGTGAAGCTACCAATGTTGAATTCGGACGCGGTGCCCAGCGTCGCGCA